ATGGAGGAGATCGTGGCTGTTTCGGGCACCTTTTCCAAGCAGGTGGAGTCTCCCCCCATAGGACGCACTGCTGCACACAGTCGCTTTCAGTGGAGGTCTGGAGCCAGACTCCGCCCATCCCCCCCTTCCGCCCACGAAACGCCGAATAACAAAACGTTCACCATGTGCAGTGCCGTCCACACGAGTGTACCGAGCCATGGGAACCCTTTTGCAGATGGTTGCCCTCTTCCTTGCATGCGATTCTCAAGTCAACAGGTCTTTGCCAAGCATCCAGGGGCGTAGTACACAGCACCTCTTTACACATAGGAGTAGTACCCGTCACCTTGAGAGTATTTACATGGACCGCCATGTTGAAAGTAGTAGTGTTCGGCCGTGGCGGAACTGGTTGTTTGTCAGCCACAGCCAGCTCTTTCTTCAGACGTTCCAAACTTCATTGGAGGTCCCCAAGCTGCGCGCCCAAGGTGCCGATTTTGGCATCGAGCCCGTGCATCCGAGCCTGAAGCGTATCCGTCCAAGCAGGTCGAGTTAGGGGCGGAGCGAGGAAATGTAGTTCGTCGGGACCGATTTGACCGCTCTTCCAGCGCCTTGATAGCCATCGAAGTGGGGCGATGGTGGACGGCGAGTTCTCGGTGGGTTTGGCAATCGACAGATCTTCCAAGGTTCCCGGCATCGTCCTGGACTGCTTGGCACCCTCTATTTCGACGAGGCCATATGATTATTGGCGAAAGCCACTACATCATCGTCTGAATCACCGTCACTCTCATGCGCAGAAGCGAGAACGACCGCTGGCCATCATCGCGATCATTTGCAAGTTCATCGGCAAGTCCAGAAACTTCCGCGGCTCCAGAAAAACAGAAGAGGGTGATTTCTTCATCCCGCTAGGCTGTTTCACCGCTGCTTCCTCGTTCTTGCGCGGCCCCGTCGGGCATACCACCAGACGCAGAGGAAGCAGGAGCAGTGTGGCCCGCCTGCAGGGCCGGTGGGGCTGGATGAGCGCCAACCCCCCCCACCCACCCCTCCCCAGCCCGAGAGCTCATCACCCGCACCCTGGCGCACCGCCCTGCCCCTCACCCGCACGCTGGTCCGCCGCACGCTGGGCGGCCCCGCCTGGTAAACCGCCCTGCGCCTGGTGCACGGGCGGGGTCCCCGGCCTGGGCGCAGCCTCCCGGCGGCGCCCAGGGGGTCCCAGGCTGGGCTGCAGAGCTGCGCCGCCTGGTGGAGAGAAGGAGCAGAAGCTGGCGCAGGAGACCAGACCTGGGGCGGGCCGGTCCGAGCTGCAGAGAGCTCGTTCGGATCGGACCTATATTCACATTTTGCTCGTGGGCGCCACCCTCCCCCGTCCTCTCCCCTCTCCTGCCCCGTCATCCCCCGTCATCTTCCTTCTCCTCTTAATCTCCTCGCTCCCCCCCCCCGACCACGAGTCTCCTTGGAAATGGCCTCGGAGCCCTAGTCCCTATCGCCACTGCCTCGTCCCCCCTCCTACTTCTCCTCCCTGCTAGGCGGAAGGCATCACTACCCTGTGTCCTGGCACACCTGGCACGGCCTCTCCCTGTCCCTCGTCATTCCGTCTCCTGTTCCTCGTCCTCCGCCCGTTCCTCCCCTCCCTCCCCCCTCACCTCTTCTCCCTCCTCCCTCAAGCCTTCAAGCTGCAGGTGAGTCCGCGAATCCGCTGACACCTTTGAGCATACGGTGTAGAGGGGCGCCACCCCTCTGGAGGGAGCTGAGGCATCAGCAACACCCTGTCGGCCTCCTTTTCTTCCTCAAGTTCGCACGGAAATTTCAAGTTTGCGACCCGTCCCCAGACCTCGCGTTTTTTTGTGGGGGGCGGTACGGCGCTCTTTACCCCGAACTCATTCGATTCGACTGAATCCCACGACTTACTTGTTTGAGGTAGCGTTTGTGTTGTAGCATACAGCCTGTGAGCAGCATACAGTCTGACGTCGGACATACATCGCAAGGTGGCGTCTTTTCTTTTTTCCTAGAAAGGGCTTAAGCCCAGGGTTCTCTTTTAGATGGTTTATCCCCAGGTTTGACTTGAGGTGGGCCGGCGAATTTTCTTTTGCGATAAATATCGAGGTCGAGATGGGCCGGCGAAAAAAATGAGGATGTCTCCAGCGAAACGCATGTGTTTTACAATGTGTTGAGGATGTCCCGAGTGAAACGCTTGTTTCATGTTATAGATTGTCCCCTCCTGGGGACCAGAATTCAGAGGATCTCTCAAGTGAAATGCTTGTTTTCACGTGCCCAGGTCTTGAGGATGTCTCGAGCGAGACGCTTGGTTTCACGTGTCCTGGTTGCTCAGGCAGAGGTCTAGCGCCAGGATTTGTTGAGGCTGTCTCGAGCGAAACGCTTGTTTTCACGTGCCCAGATCACCCAGGCGGACGTCTCACATGAAGATGCGTTGAGGATGTCTCGAGCGAACCACTTGCTTTCACGTGTCCAGTTCGCCCAGGCGGATGTCTAGCATGAGAATGTGTTGAGGATGTGTTGAGCGAAACGCTTGTTTTCACGTGTCCAGGTCGCTCAGGCGGATGTCTAGCATGTGGATTTTGACAGGATGTCTCGAGCGAAGCGCTTGTCCCCAGCACGTTTTGTAGTGCGTCCCCTTGGCACGTCCCGCGGTGCATCCCCATGGCACGTTCCCTGGCACGTCGCTTGGCGCGTCCTTTGAGGCGTTCCGCGGCGCGTCCTCCTGGCATGTCCCCTTGTCAATTAGCTCTGGGGCAGCTACTATGTGATCAGGCAGCTCGATATTGAGATCCAGATCAGTTCGGTCAGGACTCGGATGCAAAGGAGGACTCGATCCACAACGCTTTTGAGCACAATCGCGGCATGGCACATCGCAATTCAGCACGGCGCAGCACAGCACAGATTTCGGCACGGTACATCAAGATCGATTCATTCAGCAGTGCAACCTGGCACGTTCCTTGAAACGTTCCGTGGGGCGTCCCTTGGCGAGTCCCCCTGGCACGTCGCGTGGCGCGTCCCCTGGCACATCCCGTGGCACATCCATTGGCACGTTCCGTAGCGCGTCCCCTTGGCACGTCCCGCGGTGCGACCCCATGGAACGTCCCCTGGCACGTCGCCTGGCGCGTCCCGTGGGACGTTTCGCGGCGCGTCCTCCTGGCATGCCCCCCTGTCAATTAGCTCTGGGGCAGCTACTATGTGTTCAGGCAGCTCGAGCCTACGATCCAGATCAGTTCGGTCAGGCCTCGGATGCAAAGGAGGACTCGATCCACGACGCTATAGAGCACAATCGCGGCATGGCACATCGCAATTCAGCACGGTGCAGCACAGCACAGCCCCCGGCAGGGTACATCAAGACCGATACACTCAGCATTGCATTTGCCCGTCATCCAATCAGGTATCTTTGAAAACGTTGCATTGCGTTACATCTCTATACTCCTTTCCGGGTTCGTGGGTCGATCATGTTGGTTGTTATTGTTATTTCTCCCTGTTATTCTTGTGAATCCTCCTCACGCTTTCTGTACGGCATTGTCAGCACAGTTGGACAGGCCAGTCGAATTCAGCACGAGGATTTATGCAGACGATACGAGCCATACTAGTGGCATTGTGCCCACACGCAGCGCGGGCTTTGTTTCTCAGCACTCGCTTCACGAGTTGCGGTGGTCTTTTCAACCTCACGGGCGATACCCATACTCTTTGAGAGAGTTGTGTCTCCATGCCTCCTCGGCGCAGGGTCTCAACGTCAGGCTCAGTTGCTCATTGGTGGGAAGAGCCTCCTTGTAGGCGCCGTGTAATCTGTGAGCAACCTGAGAGTGTGGCCCTCGGCATCCAGACCTCCATCACGGGGAGTGCGCAATGCGAATTTCGACGGCGCCCGCAGGCCGCTCGTCGTGGGCACTGCGGCACGGGGCACTTACAGTCGGCCTTGATGAGTAGGTCGACCCTTCCAAATCAAGGGTACCCTTGCGTCCTGTGTCTCGCGACCCATGCCTTTACATTCCCATGGCAACGTGGCCCTCGGAAGGGTCTTCTGTCCTCTCGCGTTTCCTGTCCAATCGAGTCCGATTGTATGGTCTCCCAGCAGGATCTGGAGGCTGACGGGGATCGTCGTTGGTGCGTTTGTGCAGGAGTCCGCGTTGATCGGACTCACCGTTTTCATACCGAGCTTTCCGCAGGCAGGGCAGATCGACGAGGCGCTGTCGAGCTGCCGAGTCTTGGCCGAAAGCGTCTCGCAGGGGGCGTCTGTCAGAAGACGCCGATCCTGGACAACGACGGCCAGCCCACCTGCGACGACAACGGCGAGCCCAGGCTACGCTATAATGCTATGCCCGACACTGCCGTGCTGGGTAGGTTGGGCATGGCGACCACCAGTGCTGAGCTACCTGGGCTCTTGCGCGCGCAGGTTCGTTCGGCTGCGATCGCGCCGACTCGCTGGGTCGTAGCCGTCGCCATCACGGCACCTCCAGCGCCCCCTGTTTCAGAGTAGAGGTGCAGGTTGTTCGACGCCGAAGGCGTCGTTTGAGGCCGCAAGTTCACCACCAGACGTGCGTTGCTGGCGCACCAGAGGTTCTTGAGAAATGATGGTCATGATTATCCTTCGCTCCTGCACACCGTCATCGTCACTAACAGGCGTGTGCTGTCGTAGCGCGCGGGCGGGCGCGCTCCTCCCCTCGCACCCTCTCCTCCCTCCCACTCCCCCGTGCCACTGGGCTCCTTCGCACTTGTTAAACAAGTGTACTGCCGTAGCGCAATCCATATTCGTAAGATCGCACAGGACAGCGCCACCAATGCCCTCATCACTAAGAGATGTCATTCGCAGAGGTCCCCCTTCCACAACGAGATTATCGACCCCCCTCCCTTGCATGCCTGCCCCATGTCCCTGGTTGAAGCGTCCTTGATTTGCGGAATGAGGAGTTCTGAGTTCCGTTGTTCTGTTACCGAGCCGTCCGAGTGCCTGGCCAACTTACAGGAGCATAGATTCGCGGCCCGCGCGCCTAAGCCCGCTCCCCAGGCTGTTCCGCTCCCTGCTTGCCATGAGGTACCGCCTCAACGAGCAGGCGTTAGAGGCGGCGGGCCGCTCCAGGTCCACCAGCGCGCGGACCGTCGTCCTAGCCGAGGTGGCTCCGCGAGTGTGCCAACCGCGGGGCGCGCGCCCGCCCACGGCACCGTGGAGGCGCCTACAGCGCGGCCCCCATGCAGATGGTGTTGCGTCTCGCCCCTGTCCTGGCTCGCGCGGTCATCGGGGACATATTCAACATTCGGCGGATGATGGCGGCAGTACATCACGCGCTGCTGTTTAGCGAGGGCGACGAGATGGCGAAGGCAGGGTTCACAGCAGGGAAGGCCTGCGCGACGGAGGCTCAGGGGATTCGCGACCTGCATTACGACGATCCCCGTGGCTAACAAGCCGCCAGTGCTGATCATGGGCCCCGCATGCGTCCAGATGGTCCTGACCACCACGAAGACCACCACGGCTGCGGGCGACAATGCTCGCGGACGCAACAAGTTGCAGTGGCTCGAAGCGGCGGCGAAGTACGAGCCGGTGTCGGTCGAGGATATCGCGGTGATGGTAAGTGGGCGCCGCATCTCGCAGAGCTACACTGGGGGGGTGGCCAGTCGGGCGGCGCGCCTCGACGATCCGACCCTCGAGCGCTCACTCTTAGCCTCTGCCGAGCAGCTGGAGGCGGGGCTCAAGCCAGGGAAAGCCCTGCGAGGGCATCATGAGCACCTGCTGTAGATGGCGATGGGCGGCTTCGATCTGTGAGTCCCGTGACGGGCGAGGGGGCGGCAAATCTTGTCACCGGCGACGGAATTCCTGGAGGGCTTCGCCATCGCAAGGGAGATGATCGCGCGGCGCATTCTGTTGAGGGGACTGGAGTCTCCAGCAAGTCAGCTGGCGCTCGTCAGGACGTTGTTTGTAATTTGTCTGACGGCAGTGGGCCTGCGTTCTCTACGGCGTCGGCGACTCCAACAGCCTAGAGAAAAAGGGGTGGGACGGTTGTGTCTACGACGTCGGTTGCTCCCATGGCGACCCAGAGGAATGGTGGGATAGTTGTCTCTACGGCGCCCACTGCTCCGACGGAATCCCAGAGAGATGGAGATGAAATCGGTGTCTCCACGGTGTCGGCAGCTCAGATGGCGACCCATAGGAGTGGCGAGGCGGTTGTCTCCACTGCGTCGGCGGAATGGTTGTTTCCACGGCGTCAGTGATTCCGAAGGCGACCCCACGAGACGATGGTGGGAGGGTTTTTGTTAAGGCGACGTCGGCCCCTACGGGGGCCGCGTCGCGGGGGGCAGGTCGCCCCGCTCGGGTCGAGGATCCAGTGACGGCGCCAGCTTGCGGCACCAGATATGACATGTCCGAGGAACGTCTTTGAATTAGCCGCCAGCCTCCGCATGTTCCCGCCGCTCAAACAGCCGGGTGCGCAGCATGAACACGAAGCAGCATCATACAAGTTGCAGAAGCAGTAGCCCAGCAAGCCCAGCAGGTCTAGAACAGCTTTCAAACGTTAGCCTTGCAGAGCATCAAAAATTCTAGAGTCGCGCCGTCGCTGGCGGTTGGGCGAAGGCAGCCCGGGGCCCTCATGAGAGGGGTCGATCACCCTTTGCGCGCACGCATGCGCGCACCGCAGGTCGCGCATTTTGCCTTCCAGCTCAACGTGTATCACAATCGAGGTCAAATCCTGACCTTCGGCCCGATGCAGGTCCTTTCCTGTCCTGCCTTGCATTGCCCAGTCCTAGCGGGCATGTCGGTTTCGCGAGGGAGCCACGCCCGAACAAACGCTGTCGGGGGATGACGGACATCCGAAACACTTGTCAACGCTTGCTCGTGCAGTCGGATAAGTCTGTTGACCGCGCTGAAACTCAGACGGCGGTCAACCTCTTTCAGATTACTATCCAGCTTTTTGAAGTCGAATGTATGTTTCCGAGATTGGATCTCTCCGTCCGCAGGGCGCGAGAGATCGCGGCGACCTGGCCGCGTGACCTGGTTGCCCTCGCCGGGTGGATTGATCGCTGCTCGGAAACCTGAGAAGAGCGGGCTGCAGGTGTTCAACAGGCCCGCGATGGGCTGGGCCATGAAGCCAAGACGAGTTGGGACCAGTGGCAGACGGGGGCGCCGGCGGGATCTGCACGCAAGATGCGCCGCCTCACGAGGTTGAAGGCCAAGTGGCAGCCGACGGTGATAGAAACCAGTCCAGGGATATGCCCGCCGGACCCTGGGAAGCTGCCGGCCCGAGAAGCTGACGTTTTAGGGGGGGTGGAATGTTGCCGCCACCCCCCCGCCAGTCGACGCGACTGATAGACGGTGCATCGAACGAGCCGCGGCGGCCGGGTTGCGATCTGCTCACGAGATGGTTTCGGCGCACACGGTTCATTCCCTTGATGGGGTGCGCGTGCGCCAGTTCGCCTGCATGTCTGATGCTGGCTTGGACACTCTTGCGCCATTTTTCAATGCGTGGAGAAGTTGGGGCTCTTCCCCAAAGCCTCGCGCTGGATGTCGTTCCCCCCCTGGAGAAACCCAAGGGAGGTTTGCGTCCGATCTCATGGTATTCCTCGCCAGTTGGGCTCTGGGAGCGACTCTGGAGATCGTGACTGACGACGTTTAACGACCGCCACCCTCGGCGTCACTGGGCCTTCGGAGCGGGGAAGCCGGCGGAAGACAGCGCGCGGGGCCAGGCGGTGAAAGCTGAGGCCCGCGTGGCCGATGGAAGGGGTCACCTCGGGATTCTCATGGGGCGGGTCGAAGTGCTATGGGAGCTTCGACCTCGCGACTCTTCGGGGTGGGGGTCGCCGAGCTGGACTCGACCCCGCCATCTTGAAGGTCGCTCTCAACTTCTGGACGGGGCCCGAGGATCTCACGCCGCGGCGCGGCCCACTGGCTGGCGGCGTAGTGCGCCGAGAGCGGGCTGCCAGCAGGGTCTACTTTCAACGACATTTGTTGCGCGCGCGCTCTCGAGCCTTTCGACGGTTTTGCGCAGCGGACCCTTGGCTTCGATATCGCGTCGCACGTGGGCGGCGACACTGTCTCCGCGCTTGGCGCGGAGGCCGAAGTCATCCAGGCCCTTGAGAGTGCGGCGCAGGACTTGAACCGAGCTTTCACCCAGGAGCTCGGGGTTTTTTTGGCCCACGATATGTTGATGGCGTTTGGGTCGCCACCCGCGGACGCTCGTCGCCTCGGGGATAAGCCTGGGCAGCTGGCGGGGCAAGTCTTAACCCGCCAAGTTACCCTCGGCTGCGATCTGGCCCCCGCGGGCGAGCGCAGCAAGAAAAGGCCACGTCAAAAAGAGAGGGTTGACTCCAGGATGTGATCCGTAGGCGTCGCGTTCTCTGCTGGCATCGCAGGGCCCTCCCGAGGGAAAAGTTCAGGATTGGAAAGATCTACGCGGCGGGGGCAAGGCCTGGTCTGAGCTTCGGTGACGCGATCGTCGGCATGAGTGATACCGAAGTTAAACGGGCGCGAAGTGCGTTGTCCGCCCAGGCCCTCAGGCCCCCAGCCATGCTGGCGCTTCGCTGCGGGCCAAGACGGAACTTCTAGGACATCCCATGTGGAGGGACATGGTGGCCGCTGCGCTGGCGCGGTCGCATGCGGCGTGGGCCGCCGCGACGCGGCCTGCGCATGCGTTTTTCTCGATTCAGGGGTTGCGCAGCATGTGGGGGGCCGTCGGGCCCACGGGCCACACGCAGGCTAAACGCAAATGTCCGATCAGCCGCATGCGCCGCGCCCGCGAGCTTTCTCGAGCGCGCCCAAGACGGGGGCGAGCAGCTAGTCGAGGCGCTCATGTCAATGCATCCAGCGGCCGACTGGCCCATGTTGTCGGATGGGCACGAGCCTGAGTTGTGCGACAAGAGTGGTCAAAATATTTCGCGGGGGCAATTTGATGGGCCCGCGTTGCGCCGGGCAGGAGACGGCTCACGCATGAAGCACAAGATTCGCGAGTTGCCGAGAGCAGCGCATTCGCGGATCTTCTTCGATTCGGAAGGGGCGCAGAGATACATGGCCAAAGGTTTTGTCTGGCCGAGTCTGCCCCAAACTAGCCAAGCAGCTGAAAAATTGCAACTGGCGAATCTTCTGACGTGTTCCTAACCGTGGACCCACTCTGCACAGCGATTGCATGAATGCGGCGAAGCTGCATAACATGGATCCGTCAAGCCAGATGTCAGCCAGACAACGGATTGGGGGTTTGCGAAGAGGGGCCCTGCTCCACATGCGTGATAAGAAGTATGCCCCGGCCGTTCACGCCCCAGCCAGTAGGAAACTAGAAGATATTGAGCAGCTGCCCCCGCCTGAGAGGTGGCCAGGCCAACTGGCGAGCGGATCGAGGGGCCAAGAGAGCTCTGGAACTGCGTCTTCAGGCTTCGGCCGCCGGGTGGCAGCAGCTAGACAGTTCGATCGAGAGCCTCGAAATGGTGGCGCGCCTCGTGGCGGACGTTTCGCCGTGTTTTCCGAGGGTGCACCGCCGGCGCCCACCGAGGCGCGAGTGCCCGCGTAAGGTGGTCGAGCAAGCCACCAGCTGGCACAACTGGGAGAGCTGGCTGTGGGGCTCCAGGTGTGCCTAGCGTTGCGGTCTTTATAGGGGTGAACTCCAGACTCGGCCAGAGGCCGGATGCCAGGGTCTATCCCGCAGTTTAGCCAAGCTCCTGGCAGTGCCTCCGAAAGCGGACATAAGCTAGCGACGGCGCAGGTTAGCGATGACAAATTGCCGTTCGTATTTTGCATGATCTGTGGGAGTTACTCACAAGAGAAGGTGCGCAATCTGGCAACGAAGTGTGACCCCAAAGAGCACAGTGGCACAGTGGAGGGCCAATGCTTTGAGTAGGTTGAAACGCGGCCTTCTTCCCCAACGCAATGCAGCTGCGTCCTGTGCCGCGCAAGAGAAGCCAGCCTCAGGCCCAGCAGTCCGTTCCTTTGCTGCCGCTTCGAGAGTGCACCTTATTCCGTCGAGCGCGGCGCCTTTCGAATGCCTGGCTGCCATCCGCGCCCGCACTGCCGAGCGTGAGTCGGGAGGGCGGACGGCGTCGGGAGCGGAGGGTGGCTTTGAGCATTCCGACGCTCCAGCGGCGCGGCCAGCGAGACCAGCGCCAGTGGAGCAAGCAATGCATGATGATTATGATGCCGATGCGGAGACCTCCCTTGTCTTTTTTTGGAGAGACAGAGAGAGAGAGAGAGAAACAGAGAGAGAGAGAGAGAGAGAAAGAGCCGACAGCGAGCTGGTCAGACGTCCCGTGTCCGCTGCGAGTTCCTCCGATGTGTTGCTGAGCGTGTCGTCGGCCTTCCGAGGCGAGGAAGACGATGCGCTCGTGGCCCCGATGCCTCGCTCCGACGAGGTTTGTGGATCGGACTCGCGTTGGGGGGTGCGCTGGTGGGCCACGGGGCTGCCTCCTCGCTCTTGAGGAGGCGGTTCTGCGACCTCGATTATCTCCTCCGCGGTCGTCGTTTGTGTCGGGCCACTGGTGTGGCCGAGTCCTGGAGCCTCTGAACTGGTTCGGCCAACGGTGGCAAAAACAAAAAAAAATGAATAATTGTGTGTTGGTGTTCTCTCTCTCTCTTTTTCTACTTCCTTCGTTTTCTCTCGCCCTTGTGCGCATTGCACCAGAGCGTCATGTGTGTTCAAGCTGACGTAGTCTCATGCTGACAGAGCTGCCGCTTCAGTTTCTAAGGTTCGATGGTTGTGGGGTGCGCTGGGATGGGTTTACCGTGGCTTTTAACACGTTCCAAAGATGATGCGTTTTTTGCCTTTGGTAGTTCCTGGTCCTCTCCCCCCCCCCCACGTGCTCATCGTCTTGCCCCTCCCTTCTCCTCTCCCCCCCTCCCGCGCACCCATCTTCTCCTCTTGCCTCTTGTTCCGTCCATGTGTTGTCGTCGCCCCGAACCCTCGCCGCCCCCGCTTTTCGCACAGAAGCTCGTGCGGTCGAAGCACAAGGATGCCGACCACCGCACCGCCGCCTGGAGGGACCGGAAGAAGCCAGGACACAAGGCGCCGACGCGCGGCGCCGCCGCGCAGCGCCGCCGTGCGCGCGCAGTGCGCGCGCTGCTCGGCACCTTACCGCGGCCAGGGTTTCCGCGCTGGCGCCCGCCTGCGCCCTCCGGTTCAGTACGACCGAGGCGGGCCCAGGGTTCCGTCCTGAGCCCGCTCGGCCGCCCGGTGTGCTGCCGGAGAAGCTCAGCTCTGGCAGGGTCTGCGAGGGCGTGGCCCGCCCGTGCGCCGAGCGGCCTCCGTCCCGGGCGCGCCTTGCGGCCCAGCGGGCTCGCCAGGCGTGCTCTCCGAGCGGCGCCGTGAAGGAGACGAAGAGAAGCGGGTCGAAGGCTTCGGTCCGAGTAGATGGGGTCGGAGGATCGCGCCGCATCGCCGACGCATCTGCGATGCGGCCCGATGTGGAGCCCGATGTCCTCCACGCCAACGGCACCGATGCATCGGCGACGTTTCCGGTGCATCGCCGATGATTTGGTGACGCATCGGGGATGCGGCGCGTTTTTCCGACCCCATCTACTCCGACCCCATCTGGGAGGGCTCTAGGAAAGGGGTGCGGGGGTGGGCCCGTCGAAGTTCCCATTCACGACATGTCGTCCAAAGGAGACATCGAGCCGCTTGCCCAGCAGCGGCCGCTGTCGGTTTTGGACGACGTTTGCTGCTTGGCATCGTGCATCCGTGCTCTCCGTGCCCAGCTCGGGCGTGCCAGCGGGCGGAGCCGAGGGGTCGACGCGGCGAGCGAGGGGCGACGACGGGCGTCAGAGTCGTCAGGAGGACCCCCCATCCCACCCTCACCGTGAAGGCAACGGGTCCTGGAGGGAGTGGGCCTGGGACCGTCAAAGAGCGATTATGAGCGGCCGAGGGAATTGCGGTAGCCCTCTCCCTGGCGGTGGCGGAGGTGGTTTTGGTGCGCCACCCGCCAGGAAATGGGGCCTGGCGACTGGTAAGGCTTCGTGCTGCGCACAGACAGCACGTCCAGGTAGTCCCGGCTGATCTCAAAAGACCCCCCCGAGTAGTCCCAGTTGGCCTCAATAGACCCTAGACCCTCCGAGTAGTCCGGGCCGGCTTCAACACATCAACCCTGGGGTGCAGAGCGCCCAAGTGGCACCGCCGGAGGTGGCGTCAGAATGGTGAGACCGCCCGGACTACCCGCGGGGCTTGTTGAGGCCAGTTGAGATGATTCGGAGGGCCTACCATCGGCGACCGGAGTTCGGCCAGCGCCGCCACGGTGCCAGAGCCCTCGCCACGCCACTGCTGATGGCTTAGGTAGCAGTTTCCAACTCAGGCGTACTTACACTCGTCCTGGGTGCCGAGCCTCAGTGCGACTTCAGACATCAACGCGTGGGCTTCCAAGCCACGGGCCCGATGATCTGGGCACGGCACCGACGGCACCTTTTTTCGCCCCCGTGTGCCCGCCTCTTGGCTGGTCCCGAAGAGAGGTTAATCAAAAGACGTGCAGAGGTCCGCGAGGGTTTCTCGGATCGGCGCGCTGGGCGCCCCCTGGCGCACGAAGGTCCAGCGCCGACCCAATGTATCTGTGCGCTTCTCCGAGCGTTTATGTTTTTTGCCCAAGAAATTGCTTGCACTAATGCGTTGTGAGTTTGGTCGTTCCTGGTTTTCGCTCGGTGTGCGCCCGTGGGCGCTTCGTGGGCGCCTGCGTAGGTTGAACATTCTAGCGTCCACCATGCAGATTGCACCGCATGGGCTGCACAACAAATAGGTTGCTCCACGCAGATTGCACCGCATCAAGCGCACTACAGCACTGTTTGCTACAGTGTACCGCGGCAAGCTGCACTACCCTCTGTGACGAGCGAGGGTACGCTCTGCACTACGTGGGCGCCTCGTGGGTGTTGGCTGGATGATCCGGGTTTCGGCTGGTGGGCGCCCATGGGCGCCTCGTGTTGGATAGAGCTTCGGATGCCCCCCAAAAAGGTAAAGTCAAGTGGCAGACCCTCGAACTTACGACCTCGACGGTCGAGCTTTGATCCCCCCTCCCCCGCGGTTGCACATCTCCAGCCTTGCAGCCAAGGAGCGCAGAAATGGGATTGACATGCGCTGCAGCCTGTGTATATGATCATGTCGTCGCTTCTGAGGCCGCGGGGCAGAAGGCAGACGACGAATCAACAGATGGTGCATACCTCCGCGTGCTTCCTGCTTCTGTTGGCGCTCCCCCTCCCCCCACTCCACCTCGCCCTCTCGGCCCCCCCCTTCCCCGCCCTCTCGTCCTCTCGGCCCCCCCCTTCCCGCCCTCCCCCGCCCCCGTCCCCTGCCCCTCCCCCCCTGCCTTGCTCTCTCGCTCTGCCTCGCCCTCTCGCCCTGCCTTGCCCTCCTCCGCCGCCCCCTCGTGGCACCTGACGTGGCCCACGCGCAGAGCACGGCAGCCGCGGCGGCCCCCGCGCGAGCCGAGACCTCCTTGAGGAGGAGGAGGAGGAGGAGGGGGAGGAGGAGGAGGAGGAGGAGGAGGGGGAGGAGGGGGAGGAGGAGGAGGGGGAGGAGGAGGAGGCCGCCCTTCCGTGCCTTTTTTTGAACCTCCTCCGAGGCAGTTATTGGTACCAGGTCCTCTTGCTTTCCTCGAGGTCGGGTTCCCGGAGCCGCCGTCTGAGTGCCCGCACGGCCCCCGTGGGCTGCTGTGGCGCGCTCCGCGCTCCGGCCGCACGCGAGACGCTGCTCGGAGCGAGAAACGCAGAAGCGCAGGAGGAGGCCCCACCCGGGAACCTGAGTTCTGACGCTGCCCCCCAAAAAACGGCATCGCAACCCAGACGTGCTCGCGTCGTGGAATCATCGGACGGGAGGTTTGTCGTCGTCTTCGGCCTCTCGGGGCCCCCACAGGGCCGGCTCAGAAGGAATGACCGGTCCCGGGGAAGAGGCCCGGGATTTCTGGGTGCCGCGTATTGAGACTCAGGGCGCACGTGCTGGTTTTTGCCGGACATGCGACGTCTCCCGTCTGGCAAAACAGTCACCTTTGGAGACCCGGGTCCCAGATCTCTCTGCGCCGTCTTTCGAGCCGCCTCGCTCCGCGAGGGCCCCGGGGCCCGAGGCCGGCCGGGCAAACAGCAACAGAATCCCAGGTCGGCGTCTTCAAGGGGTGTGGTTGCGCCGGGTGCGGCTTGCGATCTGCGTCGCTGGGGCCCGGGGGGCACCACGCTGCCCTCGCCGGGCATCCTCGGAGCGCGGCGGGGAACTGTGGAGGCCCTCGCCCACCCCCCAGGGGTCCGGGGTGCGCGCTGCAGGCCGCACCGTCCCAGACGTCCGACGCTCCGATTCTTCCGAGGCGCGGGCCCCCGACCTCTCGACCTTCTTCGGAAACTGGAGCACATACGTTACCAGTGGCGAGCGGCTTTTCAATCCCAGGAAGTTTTGAGGGTCGGGGGCGACGTCGGGGTGGTGTGGTGTATGCTTCCCCGTTTTCCCGTGGAAACCACAAAAAAAGGTATACACCAGGATGCCGTATACACCAGAATCCGTTTTCCTGTGCGAATCTCAGTGCGGGGCCCAAAAAGGCGTCGGTGCACAGAATTCGGCTCCCTACTTCTCACCGGGACCGGCTCCTGATCCCTAGTCGTTTCGCGACGCTCCCGAGGCCCGGCAAGGAACCGATGCCAGAACCTCCGCCTCGATTTCTTCGCGACGCCGGATGTTCGAGCTTCGGAGTCGCCGATCCCGGGGGGGCCGCGGCCCGGGCGCGCCCTGCCCGGGGCCGGGCACGCTTGCGCGGCGCCGGCAGGTCGCGCCCTGCCCAGCCTGGGCAGCGCTCGGACGTGTGCACTTTGTGCTCGGCGAGGGCCATGGAGGGGCATCCTGGATCCTCGGGCAGCAGAAGGCACGCGCGAAGCCGAAGCATGCACGGGGCATGGACGCCCGAACGATGGCGAGCGGCCGCCTCGCCGTCGGCGCGCCCCGCTGCGGCTCGACCTTTTGCTCCCGCAGCGTCGCGCGCCCCACGCGCGGTGCGCTCTCTGTGCGGCGCGGGCCCGCTGTGCGGGCGCGCCCGGGGGGGCGCGCTTGTTCAGCGCCGGCCCGTGCGGCCCTTGGCGCTTTTCAGAGCTTCCCGAGGCGCCGCTCTTCCTCGCACTCTTAATACGATTGTCATGCTTATTGCGAAGGCCTTACGGCCGTTGCCGCCGACCCTGAAGATGACGAAAGACAACACGAGGGGGGGGGCAGGAGGAGGAGGAGGAGGAGGAGGCGGAAGGGAGTAGGAGGAGGAAGGGTGAAGGGGGAGGAGGAGGAGGCCTTATGGATGTTGGTTGGGATCTCGTGGTTGACCTCTCGGGGGCGTCTGGAAGGCAACTTGAAGCCTCTTGGGGGCCGTTGTGGGGCCTCTTGGGGCCTCTTTTGGGCCTCTTTGGGGCTTCCGGAGGCCGTCTTCGGCGCATCTTGGGGGCGTCTTGGCGCCGCTCGGGGGCCTCTTGGGGCCTTTTGGGGGCCTCTTGGGGCTTCCCGGGGGCCTCTTAGGGCGGAAGTCTCGAATTCTCGGTTCCTCGTCCCCCTCTTGGCCGTTTCTTGGGCCCGTCTTGGGGCCCTATTGGGCCGTCTTGGGCGCCTCTTAGGCTGTCCTGGGGCCTTCTTGGGCCGTCTTGGGGCTCTCTTGTAGGCCTCTTGGGGCGCTCTTGGGGGCCTCTTGGGGGCCTCTTGGGCCGTCTTGGAGTGTCGGAAAGCCGAAAAGGCGAGAAGGCCAAAATCATTCAAAAACCAATGTAAAATTTACGATTTTGGCGCCTGGGGCCCTCTTGGGTGTGCTCTTGGGGCTCTCTTGGAGCGTCTTGAGGGCCTCTTGGGCCGTCTTCGGGCCGTCTTGGGCGTCTTGGCGCCATCGTTCGTCGAGTCGAGACCCTCTTGTACCCTTTTGGGGGTGTCTTCTGTCGCTCTTGGCTCGTCTTGAAGCTTTTCTGAGCTCCGGGACCCCGGGGAGGATGCGTATCTGGGTGGCGACCCCCCCCGGCGACCCCCCCCCCACCCCCCCACCCCCAGGCGGAGAGGGTAGGGAGGGGCTTCGCCACGACTCAACTACGACGTTGCTCAATGTCGCTTTGGCTCGCGCGCTCAAGGAGACGGGGAACGACGAAGACGACGAGGGACAACGGAGACGGAGACGACGAGGACACGACGACGACGACGACGACGACGACGACGACGACGACGACGACGACGACGGTGATCCACGCAAGACGACGACACCGGGATGCGTCTTCCACACGCCGACAGGGTCGGCGGATTTTGTTGATTGTTATGATTGATATGATTCGTCATGGTTCATTTTATCTGTGGTTTAATGGTTTGATTGATTGATCTGATTATGGCTATGGTTTTACTGTCATGCTTAACCTTATGATTCGTATTATGTTCCTTCTTCTCCGTCTTGTCCTTCCTCTTCTTCTTCTGCCCCGATGGCCCAAGAACCCAAACGTCGTGTTTTCCCAGACCTCCTCGCGTTGCGGCCCAAACAAAAACGCACAACGGCACAGTTTGGACAATGTTCGGACTCTGGGCGCCTTTGCTGGGCCCTGGGTCTGTCAAAGAACGGTACGGGTTGAGAAGTGGGTCTTGAGCAAGTGGCCTAAACCTGCGGGCGGCTACGCTGCGAGCAAAGCCACAACGTCTGAGGTGTGTGCCTAACAGACTCACAACGTGGACCCTCGGAGATCTCGACCCCTCCCTCAAGACCGCCCTCCCGAGCTGGTTTCCGGCGGTCCCCTGGGCTTGGGGAGGGCCTTTGCGGGCTGGTCCGAAAACGGCCAGGAGCCGTCCGCCGTGACTTTGTCGCGACACAGGGGGGCCTGGGCTCGCGGTCAAGCGCCAGCCCCTGGACCTATCCAGGGGACCGTTCTCGCCTAAAACTTAATGCCTCCCAGATGGGCTCGGAGGATCGCACCGCATCGCCGATGCACCGGCAGTGCGACTCGATGTGGAGCTCGATTGTCTCAACGCTGACGCCGCCGATGCATCGGTGATGAAACGACGATGCGGCGCGATCCTCCGACCCCATCTGGGAGACCTCTACAACATCGAGGCGGATTCAGCCGTGGCGACAAGAGAAGGCCCAGGAAAGTTCCCAACCGTCCAAGCACCTCGTATCCATTATCATCGAGCCTCGATGGGCATGGGCAGGGCCAATTTCGATCTTTCGGTTTTTACCGGAAGGGGCTTAGGCCCAGGGTTCTCTTTTAGTGTGTTCACCCCCGGTTCTGACGGCTGTACGGCCAGTGAAATTTGTTTGCGATGAATAACGAGGTCGCGTAGGGCCCGCGAATTAGAACGTTGAGGATGTCTCGAGCGAAACGCTTGTGTTTCAGAATTTGTTGAGGATGTCTCGAGCCAAACGCTTGTTTTGTGTTATAGATTATCCTCCTCCTGGGGACCAGGATTCAGAGGATCTCTGAAGTCAAATGCTTGTTTTCACGTGCCCAGGTCTTGAGGATGTCTCGAGCGAGACGCTTGGTTTCACGCCTCCAGGTTGCCCAGGCAGAGGTCTAGCGCCAGGATTTGTTGAGGATGTCTCGAGCGAGACCCTTGGTTTCACGCGTCCTCGTCGCCCAGGCGGATGTCTAGCATGAGGATGTGTTGAGGAAGCCTCGATCGAGATGCTTGTTTGCACGTGCCCAGGTTGCCCAGGCGGATGCTTAGCATGAGGATGTGTTGAGAATGTCTTGAGCAAAACGCGTGTTTTCACGTGTCCAGGTCGCCAAGGCCCAGCACAGCCCTCGGCACGGACATTAAGATCGATACCCTTAGCACTGCAGCTTGGCATGTTGCTTGGCACGTTCCGCAGAGCGTCCCGTGGCGAGTCCCTTTGGCACGTCGCGCGGTGCACGTCCATTGGCACGTTCCGCAGCGCGTCCCCTTGGCACGTCCCGCAATGCGTGCCCATGGCACGTCCCCTGGCACGTCGCCTGGCGCGTCCCTTGCGACGTTCCGCGGCGCGTCCTCCTGGCATGTCCTCTCTGTCGATTAGTTCTGGGACAGCTATCAGGTGGTCAGGCAGCTCGAGCTTAAGATCCAGATTAGTTCGGTCAGGACTCGGATGCCAGGGAGGACTCGATCCACAACGCTATACAGAGCACAATCGCGGCATGGCACATCGCAGTTCAACACGGCGTAGCACAGCACAGCCGTCGGCACGGTACATCAAGATCGATACACTCAGCATTGCATTTGCGATACATTCAGCATTGCATTTGCCCGTCGCCCAATCAGGTGTCTTTGAAACGTTGCCATGCCTTACATTTCTATATTCCTTTCCGGGCCGTGGGTCGATCATGTTTCTAGCTCGATCCGATTCAAATTTGAGATTCTGACGATCCGATGTTACCCGACGCTTGCAAGCCGAAGTTGTGCTTCCTGTCTCGGCCGATCCGATCCAAGTTCGACCCCGTGCCCGCGCAGCCCGACCCCACCTACTTCTTGATTCGATCCGACTTTTGGATACGAGACGTTCCAGAAAGGCCTTGCCTTTGAGGACCGACGGAGTTGCCATCTCTTCCGCGACAGAAGGCCGCGGATGGCCAGGGGAAGCTGGCGGAAGTAAAACGAGGCCGCCTCCGCCGTCGGATGCCGGCGGAAGGCCAGCGGAAGGCGACGGAACTGAAAGATGCACGCCCAAGAGAGGACAAGATGTGATTGAACCGCTTCGCTCATTCCGCCGGCCCATATTGCGCGCCGTAGTCGACTGACCGAGTGGTCTTTCGCGGTGCGGAGCTGCAGGGGCGGCGGCTTTTGATCAGGCATTGAGGGCCCCCCCGAGGCCTCTTGTTGCCGATGACTCGAACCATCTGTTCGCGTTCGCCGTCTGGGCTTTCTCTTGGAGCCGTTTTGAGAGGCTCCTGGGCCGTTGGATGCCTCTGGGGCTGTCTTGGAGCTCTCTTGGACCGATCTGGGCTCCTCCTGGCGCGTTGTCGGGCTCCTCCTGAACCCTCTTATGCTGTTTTGGGGCGATCTTGTAAGCTTGGAGCCCTGGGGAAGCGGAAAAGGCGAGAACGGCAAATTCATTTAAAAAGCATAGGGAATTATGTATTCTTGCTTATAGGGGGCTCTCTCGGGAGGCTTCTTGGTGGCCGCTGGGGGAGTCTTCAACGCGTCGCGGGCCGTCTGGAAGTGTTTTGCCTATGGGGACTCTTCCGGGAGGCCTTTTGGTGGCCTCTTGGGGACTTTTAAACGCGTCGGGTCGTTGGCACTTGCTTGCGTGCTCGGGGGGTATTTGGGGGCCGCCTTGGGGCCGCTTGGGGGCCTCTTGGGGGACTCCTGAGGGCCTGCTGGGCGGCTCTTGGGGCCTCGTAGGGGCCTCTTGGGGACTCCTGGGGGCTTCTCAGGGCCGAGGGCTCGACATGTTGTTTCGCGTTCCCCCTGGGACCTCTCCTGGGGCCTTCTTGGGCCGTCTTGGAGGCCTCTTGGGCCGTCTTGGAGCCCTCTTGGGCCGTCTTGGGGCCCTCTTGGGGGCCTCTTGGACCCTCTTGGGGCGGTCTATAGGGGGCCTCTTGGGCCGTCTTGGGGTGTCGGGAAGCCGAAAAGATGGAAACGCCGAAATCCCTCCACAACCTAAGGAAAAGCAGTGAATGTTGCATCTTGGGGCCCTCTTGAGAGTGCTCTTGGAGGCCTCTTGGGCCGTCTGGGGCCATCTTGGGCGTCTTGGAGCGATCTTGTGGCATCTCGGAGCTCTCTTGTATCATCTTGAGGGGCTCTTGGCGGCCTCTTGGCCTTTCTTGGGGCCCTCTGGACGGCCTCGAGGGCGTCGCCCAGGAGGAAAACCATCTCTGACCCGAGTCGCCCGGGACCTTCCCGGGGTACTTCTCGTCTGGGGACCCCCAGCGGCCGCCACGCGCGCGCGAGGTAGAATTATTGTACAGCAGTTACCGGAGGTCTTAGCACGCCTCTGGCCCGTTGGGCCAGCGAATTTGTTCACGGAACCCGCCGTGTGATGTTGGTCGATCTTTTTCTCTCCCTAGGACCGCTCGTTCCATCCATCCCGAGCCGGTTCCGAACCTTTCGTTGCGCTGGCAGGGGCCCCTGCGGGGGCAGAAAACGTCGCGACCAGGAGGGAGGGAGGAGGGGGGAGGCAGGAGGGAGGAGGGAGGAAGGAGGAGGAAGAGGCCCAGGGAAGGCCCATAATGTCCAAGAACCTCTCGTCCTCGAGCCTCGAGCCTCGACGGGCCTGGGTCCTTCGCTGTCCCCCATCCAAAAGCTCGCGGGGACCGCTGCCGGCGCGCGGCCTCCAGTACCTGAAGACCAAGGCGCAGCTGAGGAACAAGTACGCGGGGCAGGCGGAGGCCTTGCGGCCCGCCGCCCGCGTGGCCCGGCCCCGGCGCTTCCTTCCTCGTCCTCCCTTTAATCTCATCCTCCTCCTCCTCCTCCTCCTCCTCCCTCCCCCTCCTCCCCTCCTCCCCTTTCCCTCCTCCTCCTCCTCCTCCTCCTCCCCTCCTCTTCCTCCTCCTCCTCCTCCTCCTCCTCCTCCTCCTCCTCCCAGTCTTCCCCTTCCGTCCTTCCTTCCATCCATCCTTCCCTCCTCCCTCCTTTCCTCCTCCTCCCCCCTCCTCTTCCATCATCCTTCCTTCCTTCCTTCCTTCCTCTCTCCCTCCCTCCCTTCCTTCCTTCCTTCCTCCTCCTTCCCCTCCGTAGCCTTTTTGGCTCAAGATGCTTCAGCCCCGCGGCAGGAAGGGGAAACCCTTGGTCCAGGGCCAGCTGAGGACCCAGTTTTGTCACGCTGCGCCCGCAGCGTTGGCCTGCATAGCCTTCTACATGAGCGTGCAAATTCTTTTCTTCGTGGCTGGCACGGGCCACCTCTTCCCGCCATGCGTGTCGAGGATGCGAGCAAGAGATCGGTCGCCGCCTTTGGAGCACTCAAAGGAGCCACTGGCAAAGGATTGGACCCGTGGGCGGAATCAGCGTCAAAGCTTGGAACAGAAACCCTACCTGCGCATGTCCGCAACCAGCTCGAGGAGGCCTTATCAGAACAGGTCAAATCAGCATCATCTCAGTTCGAGTCCACTGCAAAAAAGGCGTCACAGAAGTGGCCCGCGCCAATTTCATGCAGTCTGTCACCGCCATCGCAAAGGGGCTACCGAGCGTACAGAGAGAGGTGTTCATAGTCAAGCAGATGATGGACCGTGCGGAACAGACCAACAGGCAGCTCAAATACTCTGTCGCCAAGCTCGAAGCAGTGGTCGCAGCAGCCGAAGCTCGTGCACCTTCCATCGGCTTCTCCTCCCTCGGCACCTGTGACCGCGAGCCAGACCCCGTCACGTTCTGAAGCGGTTGTGGGTTCCTCATGGCTGATCGCGAGCTCCGTGCTGCTCCCGCCGACTGGTTCAAAGCTGCAAAGGTCGACCCCGCCCAGATTGCCTTCAACAACGCAGGCCCCTTCAAGAGGCACCCGTCGTTGCAAAACCCAGAACCCAAAGACTTCACGAAGCTCTCTGCATTGGCATTGGCAACACTTGGCGTGACTTCGATATCCTGGTAGGTGGTGTTTTTTTATGCTCTCCATGCCAGCGGGGACAAAAGCCCCAAGCTGGTACAAAGGGAGGTCCAGATCAAGAAATTCGCGAAGATCTTGCAGTCCAAGGCCGACGGCGGCGAGGTATGAGTTCACCGCTCACACGGACACATTTTGCACAACGGGGACGCGTTGGTGCAAGTCATGCTTGGCGTTTCTCCCGATCATCCTACTACTACTACTGCACGCTGGGCAGAAGCTGCAAAGGCTCTCGGTATCGACGGCAACCACCAGCAAGCCATCACCTCCGACTTCGCCACCGTCTTTAAGGACCCGCTCACGGCCGCACAGTGGCTTTCGCACAAGATGGTCGCCGTGTGGTTCCTCGCGGCTGCGTCGGAGGGCCTCGGCATTGCCTTCTGGGACCTCAAGTTCTCCTTGGACGGTCTGACGCCCGACGACACGCAAAGCGTCGTCATCTTCTTCCACTCCTTCGACGAAGCCCACGATTGACGACCCCCTGGGAGCGCCGATGACCGACCTCCGTCTTCCTCTCCTCCCCAGCCCCCTCCCCTTTCTCCTCGGGCCGGCCGCTTAAGGCCAGCAGTTG